GCTAGGTGAGATCGTTATCTACGTTGCTATGGTGACCAGCAGTCTGCGCTGATCTTCAGGGTTAAAGGGTGAATCAGCAGTTCTACATTAACTCCAGAGTTTAAGACCATTTATTGTTAAACTGTGTTGAACGATCAGCAGAGCTTTATTTTACTGTAAAGGAGGATTATTTTATTTATACCTACATATCTAATTCTGCTTTTACAGGTCAGTAAAAGAGCCACATGTGGCTCCGAAGCAGCGTGTTGCCGTCCCCTGGGCCAGACATAGCAATTATTCAGTCAGGCATACACTACACCACCTAAACACTAACAGACTGCGAAAACATAGAGCATCTCACACTTTACATCAGTCTTTTACAGAATTTCTACTGCTTTTGTCTCGCACTACAGAACTACAGCCGTAAAAATCAAACGTCTGTAAATATCGGAAGTCCCCTGATTACTCCAGCGCCACAGCAGAAGGCTAAAGATCGTCCTGCTCTTAATCACTTCCAGTCAAGCTTCCAACCTGCATATTTGCTTCTTAACGTGAACATTTGTTGTCAGGGGTTAAATCGGGGTTAAAATTGGGCAACCTCTCAAAAAAACAGATTGCATTAATGTTTGCTTCGCTTGCTAATTAACTCAATGAGGCATAGAGCCATGGGCAAGTGCGTTCCTACTAAACATCTTTTCTTCATAGTCCCCTCCTTACCCTTAGCAAGTGGTCATTTATGCATTAAGATGCTACACACTTTCAGGTCATGAGGTGAAGCGGTAAGGAAGGGTCTATTACTTCAGCACCATGGACAGACTTTTAATGTAAAAAGTGTGAAAAATATGAACCTTGTTGTCAGAATAGTGAACTTTACCAGGTCAAGAGATATATAAGACTTTATTGTCTATCCTTGCACGTGGTATATTTACAAATCATGTTTTAGCTGGTGCAGTGTGAAAAAAGTAGCCGATTGCAACTGATGTCCACAAGACTTTTTACGTACTATGCTTCATCATTTCCAGCCATAACAGCAGCACAGTGGCCAAGTAGGTAGCACTGTTGCTTCACAGCAAGAAGGGTCTGGGTTCGATTCCCTGGCCGGGTAACCAGGGTCCTTTCTGGGTGGAGTTTGCATGTTCTCCCTGTGTCTGGGTGGGTTTCTTCCCACAGTCCAAAGACGTACTGTCAGGCCAGGGTGCTGGAGCCTGCCGCTGAGATAGGAGAATGAGTGGCATAGAATAGGAATGAATGAATGAAAATTTCATAGAAGCCACAACAACTAAAAATTATTTCTAATTTCGCTATTTAGTGTGTCCACTCTCTACCTTTATTACAGCTTCCATTCTTTTTGGGAGTTTGCAGTTTTTCCAAGGTTGGATTTTCTGCAATCCAAGTAACACATTCAGTGGTGTTGAGGTCTGCACTCTGGGGTGGTCAGTCCATTGTTCAGCTTCTTTGTTTGATGTTTCCGTCTCCTTTTCTCAGTGAGGTTCTTCTTGAACAGCTACACATCCTTTCAGACCCATAACACCAATTCTTACAGTGGATGATGGACAAACTCCTCCTTTTTCACATATTTTCCTTTAACTTTAAAGCATCGCAAAAAGCTAGTGAAATGGCGAAGCTGCACAACGTTGACTACAAAATTGTAAACCCAGTGGACGTCATTAATTTAGTGGCCAAGCAACTCAATCAGGCCCACAGGCTAAAGCTGCACATTCTGTTTGATTAAAGTCCCAACCAGACATTGCCAAAGTTGGTTCTTCAAGGGTTCTGTAGTAAAGGGAATGGTACATGAGTACTACATTGAACCTTTTGCATGCTTAAATGGTTCTGTGCATGGTGTAATTGTTCTTCAGATTGATGAAGAATGTGTTGTGTATGGTTATGTATAGAACCTTTTTGAAAATGGTTCTATGTAGCACCAAAAGGGTTCTTCTACCATTGCAATTTGAAGCTTGTAACTATAGAAGAGCCTTTTTGGTGCTATATATAGACCCCTTTTCAAAACGGTACTATACATAACTATACACAACACTCCATTCTCCATCAATCTGAAGAACAATTACACCATGCACAGAACCTTTTAATCATCCAAAAGGTTCTTTAAGTGTTCATGGTTCTATATAAAACCACTGTCTTTACTAAAGAACCCTTGAAGAACCATCTTTTTTAAGAGCGTAGCACCAAAAAGAGTTCTTCTTCTGTTATGGTGTCAAGCTTGTAACAGTAGAAGAACAAACCCTTCTCAAAAAGGTTCTATATAGAACCATCTTTGGCACAAAAACTGTTTCATGATGCAAAGAACCCTTTAATCATGCAAAGGGTTGTTGCAGTGTTCATGGCTCTATGTAGAACCACTGTTTTGACTAAATAACCCTTTTTTAAGAGTGTAGCACCAAAAATGGTTCTTCTACTGTTATGATGTAACAATAGAAGAACACTTTTCAAAAAGGTTCTATATAGAACCATCTACAGCACATTCTCCATCAATCCGAACAAACTTTCACCATATAAAGAACCCTTTAATCATCCAGAAGGTTCTTTGAGTGTTCATGCTTCTATATAAAACCACTGTCTTTACTAAAGAACCCTTGAAGAACCTTCTTTTTTTAAGAGTGTTGCACCAAAAGTTGTTCTTCTACTGTTACGATGTCGAGCTTGTAACAATAGCAGAACCCCTTTTGGTGCTATATAGAACCATATACAACGTATTCTCCGTCAATCTGAAGAACCATCTCATCATGGCAAATAAAACATTTAAGCATGAAATGTTTCCACATAGAACTCATGGTTCTAAATAGAACCCTTTACTAAAGAACCCTTCTTATTTAAGAGTGGAGGCTGACCTCTCAGATTACAAACTAAGCGTGGGTTACTTACACATATGGTTGATCTACAAAGGCCTTTTTGTGGCATTGCCATTATTCAGATCCTCCAAACATGGTCTGGTTGGGACTCATGATGCAAACAACAATAAAAGATAAAGAATATGATGTGCATGTATTTGTCTGTTTACCTTATTTATTGTAATTATTATCATTAGTTTCTAAGTTATGCATTTCTTTGCATGCTGTAGTTACAGGTTTGTCTCGTGCAAGGATTTGGCCGAGGGTCAAATGATCAGAATGAGTGTGGTTCTAGGTCAGGGCACTATAAACGGTCATCCATAAGGCCGTCTCAGTGAACTTCCATAAATCTCCAAGGACAAGCAGGGCGTAAATAAGGCATGATGTGGTTTATGCACTTTTACCACACGTTAAATTTCTCGAGAGTAATTCTGAAGTCCTACTTGAAGCATAACGTCACATTTATCCAGCACCTTTTTAATCGCGACTGTTTTAATCTCCAGGAATGGCTTCAAAAAGTAACCAAGAGACTCTGTTTAACAAGATTAGACAGTTTGAAGTTAGGGAAGGCTCCCACGCCTAGCTTCCCTGCAGTAAACCGTATCCCAAACTGATAAACACTGCTAAACAACAGAGAACAGCAGGACCTGCAAATTAGAGAAGGAAAAGAAGGGACATGTCTCTGCAGGGCCACTTTTTCCCCTTTTTTGCATACAGAGCGCTGCATACACATCTTTTCTGTTGACAGGACACCTCACAGACTGTGCTAGTTTAACTCTTGGCACTGACAAGCAATGCAAGTCTCATCAGGTTCACCTTCAGCTACAGCTGACTGAAGCTGAGAGCCATGGGCAATTTATCACATTCCCTATGAGGTCTGAGCTTAAAATACATTTAAAATGCTGTTTTTGGGTTAAAAGATACACTTTTAATAGATATTATATCTACTATAAGTCTATTCACACCTGAAACAAGCAAAAAAAAAACATGTAACGACAGTTTTAGCAGTGGCAAACTCTGGAAAAGCTGTGGAAAAGTTGAAGGGGAAGTCCACCATTTTTTTTTAAAAGTTCCATATAATCAAATGTAAAGTGTAAACAAAGTTGTCTAGAGAAACTTAGTAAGAACTGTTCACAGTGGTGGTGACAGGAATCAGACATCCACCTCTAAAAGCTCCCTCACAGAAAGTTACTACATGAAATGGTTATGAATTCACTGCCTGATGACTGAGACACTGTTTTACAACAGTTCTGTGATAACGTTTTGGCCTAAAACGCCCATTTATTTGAATCCATTTATGGTGGAGGGGTACAAGCACGGCGCTGTGAGGCAAAGAAAAGTCTTTTTTTCAGATTTTTTTATTATTTTACCATCATCAACATTCCATATAAACACTCAGAAGACACGTATGGGTTCACTGATAAATAAAATGGCTCTTTTTGTGTTGTAGTCATGGCGACCCCTGGCTCCTATCACCACCACTGTAAAGAAATGAGTCTCTACAACCAACAATTTCACACCAAACCACTCTAAATGGCTCTGTTTACAACCCAACTATGCAAAAATTTTGAAAAATTGGTGGAATTCCCCTTTAAGTGGGGTGAATCTACAGTAACAGCTTCAGGCGAAGTGATTCAAGTCCATACTAGTAGTTCACCAGCAGGCGTTCTTTTTTTCCCCACCCGTATTCAGACAAGCCGCGCCCTCCTCGGCTACGATTGGCTGATCACTCACAGGCAGCGGACAGAGATTGAGGTACTAGCCAATCTAGCACAGGAGGCGGGGCTTGTCACGGAATACAGGTGGGAAAAATAACGCTAACGGAGCGCAGGGCTCACAAATCCCTCTCAATAAGAGAGTACTCAGAAAACAGACGCTCCAAAGCTAAACGATAAGAAAAGCCTAAAATGCTCGTCATTAACAAATACTTTAAGTTTATTCTCACACAAATGAAGCCACACAAGCCTACGGACCTTGGAAAGAGGTGAGTGTTCTGGTCTAACTCCGGTCCAGGTGGAAGCGCGACATAAACAAGCAGCTAATTAGCTCAAATAAGTGGGGAAACATGAAGCAGACTGAGATATAAGGCACTGTATCCAGACTGACCAGCGCTGGGGTCACAGGCTACATCAGCAGGGGACTGTGGAAGAGAGGAAAGTGAGGTAAACCTACCTGTGGAGGCTGAGAGTCCTGTAGAAAATACTGAGGCGTAGCTGAAAAAGTCTCTCACAGGTAAAAGGCTCCGAGAGGCATGACTGGAGAGCGCGTGCGGCTGAGTTCAGGTTCAGCACTGCGAGTGAATGGTATGCTGGAGGAGGAGGAGGTGGAGAAGGAGAGCTCATTAAAGGGAGAAAGTTTCCTCCCTCCCTCCCTCCTGTCCCACCCTCAGCACAGACAGCAGGGCTGCGCAGTCACACAGCAGTGAGGGATGCTGTCAGCAGCGGAAAAGCAGGCTTGCGTCCCCAGTGGCATCTGACTGTCTGATTATCTGCGCACTCAGAAACGGACTGTTCTTCAAGGGTTTTCAGAAAGGTTCCTTATAGAACTACAGCACCATTCTCCATCAGTCTAAAGAACCATTCCATGATGCAAAGAACACTTTAAGCATGTAGAGTGTTCTTGAAGTGTTCATGGTTCTATATAGAACCATTTTCTTTACTAAAGAACCCTTGAAGAACCATATTTTAAAGAGTGTGTTTGTGTCTTTCTGTCTGTCTGTTTATCTGTATCTTTGTCTGTCTTTAATCGATGCATCCCTGACTTGATAAGTATCAGTTCAGCGTGTCACTTTTTAGTGTATCTACTTGCTATAATTGTGCTGATGCCTGTCTGTCTGTCTGTCTGTCTATCTATCTGTCTATCTGTCTGTCTGTCTGTCTATCTGTCTGTCTGTCCGTCCGTCTGTCTGTCTATCTATCTATCTATCTATCTATCTATCTATCTAGTTGTCTGTATGTCTGTGTCTGTCTGTCTGTCTGTCTATCTGTCTGTCTGTCTGTCTATCTATCTGTCTATCTGTCTGTCTATCTATCTGTCTGTCTGTCTATATGTCTGTCTGTCTATCTGTCTGTCTATCTGTCTGTCTGTTTATCTGTCTATCTATCTGTCTGTCTGTCTGTTTATCTGTCTGCCTGTCTATCTATCTGTCTGTCTGTCTGTTTATCTGTCTGCCTGTCTATCTATCTGTCTGTCTGTCTGTCTATCTATCTATCTATCTATCTGTCTATCTGTCTATCTAGCTATCTGTCTGTATGTCTGTGTCTGTCTGTCTGTCTATCTATCTGACTGTCTGTTTATCTGTTTATCTGTCTGTCTATCTTTCTGTCTGCCTGTCTATCTATCTTTCTCTCTATCTGTCTGTCTGTCTGTTTATCTGTCTGTCTATCTTTCTGTCTGCCTGTCTATCTATCTTTCTCTCTATCTGTCTGTCTGTCTGTTTATCTGTCTGTCTATCTATCTATCTATCTATCTATTTATCTATCTATCTATTTATCTGTATGTCTGTCTATCTATCTGTCTGTCTATCTCTCTGTCTGTCTGCCTGCCTGTCTCTCCGTATCTAAAAATTGAATGTGAACCTGATTTCATTGATACATGCCTGCTCTTCACAAGATTTGTGATCTAATATTTTATTAATGTGTAAATGATGTACATTTGAAACAGTTAGATTCAGTATATCACTTTTTAGTCTATCTCTCTGTCCATCTCTATCTATATGTATCTCTGTCTACACTGAAAAAAGCAATGCAGTGAATTTAATTGATACATCCCTGACACTTGCTGAAATTCAGTTCAGTGTATCACTGTCAGTCTGTCTTTTTGCAGTAATTGTGCTGATCTGTCTGTCTGTCTGCCTCTCTGTCTGTCTAGCTATCTCTATATGTATTTGTCTGTTTATCTGTTTACACTGATAGAGTGATGCATTGAATAGCTACCTCTGACAATAATTACGTAGATGTGATATATTAATGTGAAAATAATGTGCATAATTCAGGTCATATGTAGCTCTAACCACTTAAAGCGAAAGTATTGAATTTATTTCATACATGCTAACCTTTTTTGCAGTAATTGTGTTGATGTAATATATTTGAATAATTGTCAAAATAATATACATTTCAACAAATTCATCACTGTTTTCCTTCTGTCCGTCTGTCTGTAGAGCTGCAATCGCTTAAAAAGTGATGCACTGAAATGAACTCTTTGCAGTAGTTGTACTGACCTGTCTGTCTGCCTGTTTATCTGCCAGTGCTGCTATCTACACTGAGAGAGTAGCTTTCTCTATGTGTATCTGTCTGTTTATCTCTATGTGTGTCTATCCACACTGATAAAGTGGTGAATTGAGTACCTACTTTTGACAATAGTTATGTTGATGTAATATCTTATATTAATGCCAAAATATTGTACTTAATTCAGTTCATCACTTTTGTCCTTCTGTATAGCTATAACCACTTAGAAAGTGATGCATTACATTTATTTCATACATGCCAACCTTTTTTTCCAGTAATAGTGTTGATGTAGTTTTATTAATGTCAAAATAATGTACATTTCAACAAATTCATCACTGTTTTCCTTCTGTCCGTCTGTCTGAAGAGCTGTAATCGCTTAAAAAGTGATGCACTGAAATGAACTCTTTGCAGTAATTGTGCTGAAATCTATCTATATCTGTCTGTCTGTATCTGTCTGTCTGTCTATCTGTCTGTGTACCCAAACGTAAAACCTATCAAACACAAGCGACACACAGTTTTAACAGAAATGTGTTCCTTAGATGTGTCTAACTCTTAGATCGTTTGTTTAACGTTGCCTTACCGCTGAGTGGAGAGGACGCTGCAAAGGCCTCCTGGAGGTTCAAAGAGTGCCATGTAGGTGTGTGCAAATGACAGAAAGCCAGCCATTGTTTGGTCTTCTCCTCCGACAACTCCGCGCCAAAGAGACTCATCAGTGATTGAACCCGAAGGCCGTTTCGCTCCCTAACCACAGCCTGAGGTGGCGGGAATCACTGGGACAGGTCTTATCCCGGCTCAATGCCTCTCTACTGCTAACCCCCCCCAAATTAGGGCTCCCCCTTAGAGCTTTCTGCAGGCTGGGATAAAAGAGGGTTCTTAAGGAGTGACAGAAGTTCCTTCGAGGGTGTGGGGACTGCATGCCATTTTGATTTAATGGTCTTAAGGGCTTCAGTAAAAGGGTTCATTGTGTAGGTTATTATGACCACAGCTAACTGCGAGGGAGCACAGAAAGAAACCAATGTGGGTGAATATTCGTAACAGAGGTAATTGTCCGTGATCCACTGGTTACATTAGAGCGCAGGAGCGAGTCTTAAGTGCTCAGTAGGTATAATATACCTCTAAGTTGCTGTAATTGCTTCTCATGCTCCATGTATTTGAGCCTAGACCATGCATGTCCAAAGCATTGTGAGACAAGTCCACATCGAGTTCTCTCTCCAAACTGGGAGTATTTCCTAGCAGAAGCACTGATAACCACTGATGGTGCGCAGTTATGCTTAAAACGGCGTAACTGGTGTCTGCTTTGGTTTGCTGGCCATTTATGCGATCGAGCTAAACCTGAATAGTCTGGATGTCATCTGGAAACGTCCCCTGTGAGCAAACCTGCAAACTGTAAACACAGCAGGCGTGCGCTGCAGTAGGCCGTGGACTTGGTCAAGACTTTTTAAAGTGACGCAAACCACAAACATTCTGTTTAATTTATTTGTAAAATGGATTAGGAAAGTTATTCTTTGTTTGAGGGCTTTGGTGCACTCAAATATGTGAAACCTCATTGACGATTGCAAATGAAAAGAAGTGTTCTTGCTTGGCCAGTTGTTGACAAAAGCCCTACAAATCTAGAATCGTTCATCAGGTACACTGTTCTGTTCTGTTTATGTATCAGCAGCTATTATTAATAGGATTAGAGTGATGACAAATGCTTGGAAAGGCATGGAAAATGGTACCATGGCAGGGTGTCTTGCAGAGAGCTCTTGCCTACAGGGACAACCTTAAATGCAGCCTCGAATCCAGCGTTTACCAGGAGTTTACCAGAGCTGCTTTCGTGAGCCAAAACATTTTATTAATATTATCAAACACAAAATGCAGTAGTGATTAGTGCAGCTGTCAGAAACCATAGAAGACAACCACAGTATTCAAGTAATGAGGGTTAATTCAAGTTAGATTTTTACAAAACAGCTAAACGACAACGTATCGAGAAAGGCAGTCCTTTAAAGTCTGTCGCTTTCAAACTCTGGCAATCCAGAAGCTTTGGTCGGGTTTTGAAGGGAGATGTGGAAGACTTCCTTGCTGACGAGGGGCGGAGTGTGGAGGGGGCTGTTGACCCCAGAGTCTCTGTCGTCCACCAGTAGCTCCAGCTTGGTTTGGTTAACCTCTCCCTGCTGGGGGCCGGCAGGCGCCGACTCAGACTTGTGTTTGATTGATTTGAATTGCTGGAGACGCACCACCTCTCTGGTCTCGTGTAAGCAAGGCACCTGGGCCGCGACGTCCTTGCGGAACTTGGGGCTCATGATGAGGTATATGATCGGGTTGCAGAAGCAGGCGGACTTGGCCAAGAGACGGGCGGAGATGCTGGTCGTGCTAGGAACGGGCAAGCCCCAGGCAGACCGCATGGACACAACCGCGTAGGGAGACCAGGCCAGCATGAAGGCTGTGCAGATTGCAAGAGACACCTAAAGACAGACGTTTAACAAAAAGTTTAGATGGTTAAGTCAATGGTTAATCAACTGTTGCTGTTACAAGAGCCTGAGTTTGGATGTGAAATCTCTATTATCTGTTTTTACACTGTCCTTAGAAGTAATGGAATGTGCCTTTTCTACAAAGGTATTGTTGGAATTCCCTGCTGTCAGGAAAATATCACAAGAAAGAACCTAATTTCTAAATAAATAAATAAATAACACCTCGCCAGTTCAGTTGCGAATACTGATTGTGAGACTGCTCATAGTGCTGCCTTACAGACTGATATTAATTGATATCTGTAGCATTTAGGCTGACTTTGTTCTTGATATGGTTTGATAGTTCTTGCTATAGTTTGGTACATGAAGTTTTATAAATCGCGAGTTCACAGCCATCGCTTCTTGTTAAAATAGTGAAATGCACCATGTGACGTTAGCCTATAGGCTACTGTTACTGTTGCCTGTTTTTAAGGTCACCAGATTTCTGAAAGGAAAACTGGGGACATTTCCAGTTCAGCGGTCAATGTATCATTCTAATCTCCAATGTTTTAATCTTTTAAATAAAAAAGGGGGTCAGTTCCAGTTTCATGTATTTTGACCATGGTAACTGTCGT